GTCTTTTTTTTTTTTTTTTAGTATGATTTCTAAAATCTTGTTTTTCTTGCCTCTTTTTCTGGTTTTATTTTTCTTTTTTTATCCTTAGAAATGAATTGGTAACCCTTGTTTCCTCTTAGGGTGATCGCTGTGGTTGGCTGGTCCCGGGAGAAGGATATACTTTTGCAACAAGCGAGCATGAGCAGCTTGCTAAAATTGACACAAAGCTTCAAGAACTCTCTGCAGTCTCCCCAGCAGTTTGCAGCTTTTCTCCAAGGCTTGAAAATGGGAATGATCAGGTATATTTAATTCAAAAGCTCATAGACCTTTCAGGTTTATGTGTGCTATATGTGGATCGTATGATTTTACAATCTTCTCATTAACTCAGGTTTTTTTTTTCCTAATTACATTTTTCCTGACTACAACTGCACTTGTGGTCATTTTCATAACAGTATTTGCCTTTGGTTACTTCTGCCCCTTTTCCTCTCTGTTGGTAATTTACAGGGGTGAAGTCATATAGGGAATATTTACCTTAATATTATTATATCCATATGATTTAAGCTAATTCTTGATCTGATCAGGTAGGAGGAAATGGAAGAAAATAGATATAGCATTAATTAGTCCTTTGAGAGCCTTATTTTTCTTTATTGTTCAGGAACTAGATTTTAGGAATGGCAGCCACTTGTCTCTTATTCTGCCAGCTCTTTTAATTTAACATGGAGAATGAATCTTACTTTACTGATGGCTTCTGTCCTATGCTGGTTTTGAAGTGAATGTGTGCTTCTCTCAATAATTTCCTCAAATATACTTTTACAAAGCTGGCAGACAGTGTATAATAGAGAGAGTAGCGGTGCTTTGGGAAAGTAAAATTCTTTCTGGTCCCCGTACACTTCAGTATTTTCTGTGATCCAGTTTGGAGCTCAGTGGTAGTCTGAGGAGAAAATATCTATTGTTTTGTTATCCTGTTCCTCCACCAGCTTTTCAAGGTTCCACCAAATCATTTTCCGTACACTTACAGATGGCCTTCTGATTTACAGTGAATCTTTTCACCAAACTATCAATTGCAGATTACGGATCTAGCTTTTGGCCAGTGAAAACTATGTCAGGGAAGAGGAGCAGAGTCAAGATGTTCTGGAAAGTCAGTGTGACTGGCAGCACCTCATGGAGAGGCCTCTGCTACCTCAGGTTATATTTCTAAGGGCCAGACACAGCCACTTCTGAGCCCTAGAGATGCAAGTGGAGTGGGTGGTGTTCCCACCAGTCATTTCTGGATCAGGATCCGAGTTCAGAGAAGACACTGAGAATCAGAATCTTTGTCCCCACCCAAATGTACAAGATGACGACAAAAGTCATGCTGGTTCATTTGTATTACCGGGTTCCATGTCTCCCAAGGAAGAAGTCGATAGGGTGATAAAATGCTTGTTCTTTTCACATTTCAGCGGATATTTTTCCCCCTTGGCTCTTATAATTCAAGGATTTCAAAGATAGAAAGATGTCTTTTTCATGGCTATTAAATGTTATTCTTGAAAGAGAATCTGAGGATTTAGAGATTTGTTCAGCCATTAGGACGTTAAATAAAGCACAGATATTGTCAGATTCCATCATTCTCATCTAAGTCACATTTTTTTCCCGGAGTTCTGTTTATGGTTCAGATAAAATATTTGAAAATAATGAAAGGAGAAATCAGTTAATTACTTTGTTTTTGCACCTTGAGTTTATATATTTTTGCAAGAAGCAGCATATATTTACAAAGAAAAGAAAAAACTGCATTTTGGGTCTCCCATTGGATGCAGAAACCGAAAGGTATGGTCATAGTTGGTGAAAAGAAGTGGCTAATGCTTCTTGCATGCAAAAAAAGAGTACCTATTAAGTGTTCAGTTTCCTCATTTCTAACTAAAACTAGCATTGTACATTAATTTTCAAGGCAGAAATGCTAACACGGCAAACTATTTTATGGATATTATTTTTGGATTGGAATAATTTGAATAAGTACACTGGAAATATCTTGGATAAGCTCTATGTATCTATTTAGCTGATGAATGGGCTCCAATCTATTGCTGAACCACAAATACTAACAGTGCATATTCATGTGTTTTTATTTTCTTCTGCACACCATTTATTCATCAGTAGTTTTTCTTCATGCTTTTTCAGAAGGTCTTTTAAGTGAAATATGTTTCTGTTTTTAAACAGTCAGTTCATGAAATATTAACTGAATGCCCACTATATACAAGAAGTTATAGGGAACCTGAAGTTAAGTCAGACAAGTATAGTGCCTTGGAGAACAAAGCCTTGCTTCAAGTTAGGCTCTACTGCTTCCTACTTCTGTGGACTTGAGCATTAATTAGAAGCTCTGTAAACCTCAGTCCTCTCATTTTATAAAATGTTAATAATATTCTTCAGGATTCTTATGTAGCTAATTTAATATGCAAAAGGAGCTTACTGCAATACAGGACACAGCATTTAATCCATGAAATTAGTATTTTGTCATATATGATTTAAGGAACATATTTCCTTATGGAAAGAAATGAGTAGCACATAGATAACCGTGGTACATGTATATGCTAGGATCGTGTAGAGCACAGAGTAGGACTATTCAGAAGGAATATTAAGAAAGTTCATTTTCATAAGAAGGGACTGGGCAGGAAGGGGAACTAGAGGAGGAGGAGGCAGAAGAGATCAAACACATAGAACACTGTCATCATACACTATAAGGCTGAAAACTTGTGGCCTGTGAGACAAATTAAAGCCCTTAGCTTATGAAAGTACTTTTAGCTAACTTTTTAAAATGAGATGAAATCGTATAAAATTCATCATTTCTAATTTCTCTTGAAAGGTATGTAAAGTTAGCAATATTGCATCTGAGCCCTTGCTTGGCAGCTGCTGTTCAGGATTAGGTAGCAATTGTCACTTTCTGCAGAGCACATATTCTTGGGTTCACTGCAGCACTCCGCAGTCCATATTGTGCTGCCAAGAAAACCATTTTCAGAATGAGCTGAAACCCAGACTTTCTGACTTACATATGTGCTGGGGATGTGATACTGAGTTGGTAGGCGTGTAAACTTCAGGTGATAAACACAGCTAAGTCAGAATAGGTGAAGGGACCCTCGGAATGTGGCTTAGAGGATGAGAAAGTATTGGTCGTTGTGAAAGGGGAAGATGCAAGATTTTTCCTAACGAGCTTGCATATCATGATGTTCTCAAGTGGACAACCTGGCCTGGGACTTAACTTTAGGGCCTTGTTTTTAAAAGCAGCATTTACATATCTGATTTCCTTTGTGTAAAACAAAGCACATGGTCATCACATTCAAAAGAAAGAAAGGCTTCGTACAGCTATTGCTGTGATGTTAATAAGATGTGACTGCAGGTTTCACATCTGCTTTTTATTTTCATTGCATCTTAGCAAAAGAGAACTAATTGAAGCAATTTTTTCTTAGGATCTGTGGCTTAACTGTGCATACCTTCCCATATTCATCTCTGAACTGGACAGTAAATCAGTTAATTTTTTCCACATATTATAAATCCCACCATAAATTTGAGTGATGTTTAATAATTTCATTTTGCTCATAGATATATTCGATTCCAGTTTCCTCTAGAAATATCTAAGATACAGGAGTTATGTAAGCACTTAGTTTCTTAAGTCCTAAGCAGCTGGATTCAATAATAAATTCTGCTCTTTTTTGTTTTTGTAAAGAAGTGTGGTTTATTCATCTCTCATGCAATCAGTCTTACTAAATCTAGGATTCCAGTTCATGGTTAGTTTTTTTTTTTTTTTTTCCATTTGAAGGAAGGTCTTCAGAAATACCTCTTATTGACAAGAGGCATTCCTTTTTTTAAACCAAGTAATCTACTTGAATATAAACATCCTCTTAGTTTGATTTATCTTCTTGTTCTTAAAATTCAGATTGTTTTACACAATTTGGATAGACCAACAAAAAGTGTGTGCATGTGTGTGGGGGTAACTGGGGATTAAAATCAGGGCCTTTGCATAGAGCTACATCCCCAGACCATTTTTATTTTTTATTTTGAGATAGGGTCTCCCTAAATCACTAAGTTGTGCACACGGGGCTTGAATTTGTGATGCTCCTGACACAGTCTCCCAGGTTGCTGGGATTACAGGTGTGCACCAACATGTCTGATTTAAGACACATTTAATTGAGGAAAATTATAGTTGTATCCATCTCTTTCTTGCCAAGATCATGCTATTGCTGATAGCAACATTATTATTTCTGGTCTCTTCCTGTCTCAATATTAGCTAAAACTGAGAAAATATAGATCATTATTCAATGTAGAACCCTGAAAGATGCTGCCATCCATCGTGGCTTCAAGGATTTGCTGTTTCAATATGGCCAAGAAGTCCATGTAGTCCCAGATTTACTTAATATACTTTTTAAGAATGGAAATCTAGTAGTTTTTCAACATATGCCAATCACAGCACTGAACTCTTCTTGACCAGAAACTTCAGAAGAAGTGTGTCACATGAGCATGGTTATCTGGGCCAAGGAGTAAACACAAAGTCACTTCAGAAGCCCTCGCCTCCAGGCTGAGCATTCTTGGTCAGACATTCCTATCAAATGTTCTCAGGCAACTCTGGGAAATGGCTCAGGACACCTACATCTGAGATTACTGTGGCGTTTTCATTTGTTTCTCTGTTGAGCCTGTATATAGTCAAGGTGTTTTTATTTCGTGGTGATATTTCAAAATGATAAAAGCAATCTGTTTGAAAGATTTCCTCACTGCCTCTGGTACTGCCAGGCAAATGCAGTGGCCTGTGGATGTAGCACTGCCTATAACAGAACAAACTGGCTTTACTCAGGGAGATTTGCAGCTTTATGCAGGATTTATTTGCATATCAGCTAATTTAGGAAACTGTAATTTCCTGTTTTTGACTTTTGAAACTAAGTTTATTTAGCTCAGCACCAAAGTTAATTTTCTAAGGATGAATGCAAAATCCCTTGGCAGTCAAGCCAATGAATATCAATTTACCCAAGGAAAGGGCCAGGGATTTAGCTCAGTGGTTCCACTGCCTGCTTTGCAAGCACAAGAACCCAAGTTCTACTCCTGGTACTGGAAAAAAAAAATTTACCTGAGGAATACTTTTCTTCTTGTGGCTCCCTTAGACATGCTGTGCATGTCAGGGGGAATTTTTACTGAGTTCACCATAAAATCATTCTTGTATGAGCAGGAATCACAGAAACAATATGTCAGTTGGAGAATCTGCTGAAAATACTGTATTTCTCTGGTAGGAAATCGAGATATTTCTTGATGCTCATGAAAACTATACAATTGGTTGGTACTTTGTTGTGAGGGAAGAACCTCCTGGCACCACAGAGCCTTTTGAATATGCAGCTGGGTACTTTTTGCCAACACTAGTGTCTTCCTTTTCTTACTCTGGGCCTCTACTTTTATCACTTGGTGTTCTTCAAGTATTTGAACAATGTGGTTATGTTATCAGAGACTGTGACTAAGGAAAGGCATTACATATCCTAACTATAGATATTTACAGACTTATAAGCCATTAGTGGTCGAATAAGTTTTCTTAAAAGAAACAGACCCAGAAAGAGGATGATTTCTTATCCACACAGATTGTTCCAACAGAACTGGAGGTAAGATCTAACCTTCATGTCTTCCTTTTGGTTTGTTTGGTTTTTTGAGACAGAGTCTCACTATATAGTTGAGACTGACCTGGAACTCACTTTGTAGCCCAGGCTGATCTCAAACTCATAGCAATCCTCTTGCCTCAGCCTCTCGAGTGCTGGGATTATAGACATGTGCCACCATGCCCGGCCATGTCTTCCTTTTGGATACAGAGAATTGCATTGTCAGAGCAGAGTGAAAATAGCCTTGGTAGAATAATCTTTTTATTTTGTTAAAAATGAAAAATAGCTAGGGCCCAGGGATTTAGCTCAGTGGCACCGCACCTTCCTGGAAAGCGCAAGGTCCTGAATTTGATCTCCAGTACAAAAA